ATCTAACTAGAGTCCAAATTTCCTCCAACCTATGGGCCAATGGGTTTTGGGGGTAACAAACTTATTTTCGAGCGTTGGGCACACTGTCGACACTGCGCGCAAGTTTGGTAATCTTGAACTTGTGCTTATCCGACATTCCATTTCTGTGTAATTGCGTGGAAATACTGGAAATACGTTTGTGTCAAATTCACGAACGGTTGTAAGTGAAATATTCGTGCTTCATGCACGAATTCAAGTGAACTTTATCTAAGCAGGTAGGCAGATTCTTCAATCTCGGGCATTCGCGACCGAAAGTAGCGATCAGCCGTTTCAGCCGAGCGATCCGTCAAGACAATTTGCAACTTTCTTTTCTTCTCGCGCAAACGGAGAGTTCGGGTTAACCAGTTCATAACCAAAGCGCACTTAATGCGTATTATGCATTTTTATCGCTGAGACCGCGAGAAGAGCGAAGACTTCGACGACTTTTTACGAAATTCACGTATCTTATATATTTTCGAGGCACAGAAACCAAATGCACATTCGACAACGCTGCAACGTCGTCGTTCTTGTCTCATACCTTTCTTTTTTTCTTGTTTGTTACTTCGATTGAAAGCTCGACGACTTTGTACGTGAAATATCGCGCGTATTGGTATCTTGGAAGAAATAACATGCATCTGTAACATTTATGTGCACTCTATATCATACTGATACGGTAAGTGCATTGCGATTTGCGATGCACTTTGATGATGCTTAAAAAGAAATAAAATTTCATTATTTTTATTTATATGATTTATTTGTTCTTAAATCGTTGTGTTATGATTAACACGTGTATTATTTCAAGAGAGAAACTGCTATTATATTAATCGAGAATTCTAATATCGCCATTGTTTCCATATGCAATAATCGCTATTAATAAAAACTGCGACATAGGTACGTCTCAAAAATACTGAAACAATTAGAATATCAAAATTATAACGTCTTAGTAAATATAAAACAGAAACTGTTTTATATTTAACTAAAAAAATATATTTATGATATTCCAATTGTCTCAATATTTTTAAGAGCATACGTATGTACGTTACAGAATGTTATTGTTATTAATAGCTCGATTACTGCATATAGAAACATGTCATTCAGCTTATCATAAAGTAATAATTCTTAGGTTAATAGCATTAATCAATGTAAGAATAATGTTAAAATTCTTGATTACTTTAATAGTTTTTATTTCTTTCAAAATAATATGCAGTGTGGTAATTATAATACAATAATGAAAAACAAATGTATTGTATAAACTAATATAAAAGTGCTGTACTCCTTGTCTTATAATCTTAATTTTATTTCAGATTGCTTGAACAAGATTCTGTTATAATTTAACCTTAAATATGTTTGGGCAAACTGGAAATACATCGTTCAGTATGTATATTATGTAAATAAATCATGCTAGAGATTTGATTAAGGATTCTTTTTATTAAAATATTTATCTTTTTTTTTTTTAAGGTGGATTTAGTACTGCGACGCAAAACAGTCCATTTGGCCAATCTGCATTTGGTAAACCCATTACTACAACAAGTTTTGGTAGTGGCGCAACACCTGTCTTTGGTAGTAACAATACTTCATCACTCTTTAGTTCTAAGCCCACAGGTTCTACCACAGGTGGCTTGTTTGGAAATACCACAACGCCACCGGCATTTAGACAGCCAACTAATACTCAACCGTCTTTTGGAGGTAGCAATTTATAAACTGTTTCACTTGCATGTAAAAAGTTCTTTCCTGTATGTATATTCGTGCGTGTGCAAGATATCATGCATTTGAAACATTCTCGATCATTAGGTTTTTTTTAGAAAAACATTTTGCGATCCAAGGATCACTCGAAATGTCATTATATTGGACAGTAATTTTTGCAAATTATCATATACGGATTATTTATATTGGAAATTGGAAACAAATTGTAAAAGACAAATTCAAAAAATTATTAATTGGTTTAAAACTAGCCTCATTGATGTATTTCAAAATTATATAATTTATGCCTGTTATTTTAAAATATTATTTCCTGTGGTACAAAACATCTTTATGTATACATTGTGTGTATATTTTAAAGCAGTATTGTACATTTGAAGTAATTTATTTTATAGACTTTATATTAGACATTAAATCAATAAATATTAAATATAATGTGCAAGCAATAAGTGTAATTTTAATTTTGGTTTATATGATACTGTATTTGTTATATATTGTTAAAATCTAACAAATATAATTTATGTTTTTGCAGGCTTCGGGACAACAAATACAAGTACCAATCTTTTCGGCACCCAACAAAATGCCGGGACAAATCTTTTCGGTACAAGCACAGGGACTTCAGCGTTTGGTCAAGCAAACAAACCTGGTTTTAACTTTGGCACAACATCCGGAACTAATCTGTTCGGACAACCGCAACAAAATGCACAACAAACTACTCCATTTGGTCAGGCGAATACCACCACAAACACAAATCTTTTTGGTACAACCACAGGTAAGTTAAAAGCGCAATTGCTTTTGCGTATACCTAGACTAATGACATTTAAAATTTCAAACACTTTGATTTCTTTCTGTGCAGGTTTTGGCAATACTAACCCGACTACCGTACCAGCTGGCACTGCAGTGAAATTCACACCTGTCATTACAACTGATTCCATGTCAAAAAATGGAATATCGCACAGCATTTCGGCCCGTCATTGTTGCATTGCATCTATGAAAGAATATGAATCCAAGTCTTACGAGGAATTACGTTTTGAAGATTATCAACTTGGGAGAAAAGGCATATTATACGATCTTATTGATTTCAGCCAAAATAAAGAGTAAAATATTTATAATTGCTTCTCTTTTCAAACAGGTCCACAAACGGGTCTCTTTGGGACGTCGGCACAAACATCACCGTTCGGTAGCACATCAGCTGGTACTAGCACAGCTGGGACAGGTAAGTTCCGCAATAAGACATTTATTAACTAAAAGGTATTCAGACGAATATGGATTAACAAACATAAATAATTATAACAACGTGTAATTATACAATAAATGTATACAATTATATTGCATATATGTGTATCATATTGTATAATTATACAATTATTTGCTTAATTTTACGCATATACTAGTATTACTTAATTGTACGATAAGTAATTATACAGTTATATACTGTAAATATTATAGTCTACAAACATTTTTACTTATGATCTACAAGCCTGATTTAAAAATTTTTTTTTTTTAATTTTAATTGTTTTATTCACTTTTATACACTTTTATAATAAAAAATCATACATAAAAGCAAAATTTTGCATAATACTTATATAATATTCTATTCTATAATAAAAATAGAAGAAAATTCTCTAACTTATTTTATTTGTTAAAGGATTTGGTTCAATGACCGGAGGATTTGGTACCACTAGCCAATCAGGATCGACCGGACTATTCGGAAAACCCATTACTAATTTTGGAACGCCAGCAACTACAACAACCAACAGCTTTGCATTCAATTCTACACCTACAACAAATCTGTTTGGTACTAATACTCAAACAAAACCATTTGGTAGTAAGTTATTTTATTTATCCCAACGTATATCGTTATAAAGTTTGTCAATCTATATGTACATCATACAAAATGTCACAGAATTTGCGCGTATCTCTGTGCTAAAAAAAGATTTTCCTGGTAAAATTCTGCTATCCGAACAAGTTTTCATGTGAGCAATTTAAAGCTAACAAACAAGAACTCTTATTTAAGTTACGCATGAATCCCAGCTCACACTGGACACGTACGCTGTTTTAGGATTTCTGAAAATTTTAACAAGTATACACGATATATGAATACCTCTAACTGATGTCCCTGAAACGACAACTGAAAAAATAGTTAATGAATATTAATTTGCAACAAGAAAACCTTATTAGTAGAGCAAGAGATGTTAAATTATATTATTTTTCATAAGCTGTATTTAAAATAGTGATATTTAGATACACAATTGTTATAAAATCTTTAGAGGGATAATAAAATAGCGTATAGCACCAACACTGCTGATTCATGCATAACTTTAAGGGCTGGTTGTGTTCCAGCTTGTTGGTAAACTACCTAATAGTTAAAGCATATGTATGTCTTTGTTTATCCTTTACATTGAACAAAGATAGACATGTGATTTAACTATCAGGTAGCTTACCAATAGATTGGAACAACCGGCCTTAAGTGTTTATTTGCTAGCTTTAAATTGTTTTCGTTTAAAAACTATTGCTCAGATGCAATTTTGCCAAGGAAAAAAAGTTGCTTTTTCTGGCACAATTGTATTATGCACTCTGTGTGTTCCCACTTCGAGATATTTTGTTTAAATATTTTCTATAATTATCTTATATTTTAATATATTAATCATACATATGTGCATATACATGATCAATATTAAAATATGTGATAATTATAAAAAGTATCGAAATATACTCGCCTATACGTGCACATGCGCACAAACGTATGTGTTAACAATTCGAAGGAGAGAAAAGACGACATTTTTATTTTTATTTCTTTAACACGCGATCTTCTATTTACCATTATTTTATCAATGAGGCAAATAAAAATACATTTTTTAATAAAATATGGAAAGTATAAAATATGAAGTGTAAAATTTTATCTATAGCAGCTGCCCCGACACCTCTTTTTGGCACCAGCAGTACTAACCAGACTGCTGGAACGGGTTTTGGTAGCATTAATACCGGACAGAATACTGGATTCGGATCTGCATTCGGTTCCACGCAACCTAATCAGGTAACGTACATACAAATATACATATTGCATATTGTATTAGAAATCAAAATGATACTTATATTTTTGTTCATAGAGTATTGGATTGTTCAATCAGAACAAGTCTGCTTTTAATATTCCATCGACGTCGACTAGTACCGGCTTCACTGGCTTTGGTCAACCGGCCACAAACACCACTACGCCATTATTCGGTAATAAAACTACCACCACCGGATTTGGAACAACGTCTACATTCGGTGCGGCCGCGCCTTCTACATTCGGAACTAATACAGGTTTTAATTCCGGCACCAACCCTGGATCCTCGTTGTTTAACTCGTCGTTCAAACCAGCTGGACAAACATCGGGATTTTCTTTCGGAGCTACACCTGCATCTTCAACTGGGCTTGGTGACTTACTTTTTCTTTAATATTCGACCCAATTTACATATGTTATCCGCTCAATATATGTTAATATGTGTACATGTGTATATTATAGGCACGAATACTGGTTTAAGCTTGGGCGGTGGGTCTTCATTGTTCGGCCAACAAAAGCCGGGTAGTCTATTTGGAAATACAGGAAACAATACGACGTTTAACAATCCTGGAACATTTGGATCTTCTACTTTTGGAACGAGTTCTAACATGATGTCTGGAACAGGAGTGGGCTTACTTAATGGAGGGTAACCCAATGTTTATGCTCTAATTTTAACTCTTTTTCATTAACATCTCTAATTTTAACAACTTGATCAATTAATTTGATCTGTTTTCTTTGATTATTTAAATGTTTAAGAATTACCTGTACTGTATATAATATACTGTATTAAATAAGTGTTTTATATATATTTTAGGGCAGTATCAAATCAGGCTAAAGCAAATGGTTCGGTACCGGTGCATCAACAAATCTTAGCTCTTGTTTCCGCACCATTCGGCGATTCACCGTTATTGAAGAATCTTTTACCAGTGAGTATCTAACCAATTTAAGATAATTATCCTGCAATAAATTAAGAAGCATCGTAATTTATTTTTGGTTGCAATCTATATTTTTATAGGCTTCTGGAAAGACCGAGGAACTCTTAAAACCTACTAATCCAGCATCGAAAGTACTGAATAGTCCACAATACAGAGTTACTGCCAATAACAAATCTCCGAAAATCAAAGCGAGAGTCGTCAGTTCTGCGCAGCTATCGAAGGTAAACTTACCAAGTTTGATTTCAGATATTCAACTATAGAACGTTGTTGCAAAATATTTCATTCATATTATTATTAGAGATAGAATAATAAATTATTCTCTTTACGAAACACCTATTCTAGAAATCCTTGTTCGATGGCCTTGAAGAAGAAGATCCCGTAATAACAGAAGCTTTTCAACCTCGGCCAAGCGCAAAACGTTTAGTATTACGGCCAAAGTCAGCGACAAATTCCTCGGTTCAATCTCCCACAGAAAATGGAGAATCTGTGACGAGAAATGGTACTGCAGAAGACAGGGCAGATACATCAAATGTAGTGCACAGCAACAACATCGAAGTTAATGACAAGGAAAATCACAGCCAAGACAATAATCGACTTGCAAATGATCGACGGTCGTCTACATCTTGGTAATGCAATAATATATTTTTTCGAGTTCTTTTGATACCTCGAAAATCTTTTAAAAAGTCACTCTTAAGAGAATGTAAATTTGAGTATCTTTATATTCGTAGGTTAAAGTCGACGCTTCCGCAGAAAAATAAGATTTCGGACGATGAATTGCTTGAGGGGCAGCGATCGCCTTTTTCTGGAACGAATGTACCGGAAGAAGTGAATAATACGGTGGCCGAATTAAGATCGCAAAATAGTACATCGAGTATAAATCGTTCGGAAATAATCAATTCGATCGAAGTGCCACTAAATTCTACTTTTGACGAGAAAAATTCCGCAAATCTCACCATGCCGAATGCAGGTAAATATTTTTAAATCAATTAAACAAAAATCTCACATAATGTGAAATTTTTTTACCTGTGTTTCAATTCTTGTTTCTTGATTCTCAGAATCCGGTCAAGAAACAGACGAGAGTTCGTTGTTGATGCTGCAATCAAACTGGAGTGTGAACATGGCTAAAGTTACATTACGACGAGCGGGCTATTACACCATTCCGTCGCTCGATAAACTAGACGATTTTGTTTGCGGTGAGACGTGCGTCGTGCCCAACTTTACCATCGGCCGTGAGGGTTATGGCAATGTATACTTCCCGGATTCGTTTGACGTGTACGGCTTGAATCTCGATGAAATTGGTAATATAAATTTATGAATTTAATCGTAACTTTTTATAAATGTCGCATTGTGTTGTTTCACTTTCATTACAATTGAATGTTAACACGACTCTACCTCAATTGATCTATAAACATCTTTCTTCGAAAGAGTGATTATATTTACATTGACTATTACGTTTGTCGTTGCAGTACATTTTCGTCATAAAGAGGTGATTATTTATCCTGACGACGAGAAGAAACCACCAGTAGGGCAGGGCCTGAACCGAAGAGCACAGGTCACTCTGGACAAAGTGTGGCCACATGATAAGTCACTGCACGAGCCGATCACAGATCCACAACGACTTGCCGCGATGAACTACGAGGGGAAGTTACGTAGAGTGTCCGCAAAGCACGACACCCGTTTCCTTGAGTATCGACCGGAGACTGGCTCGTGGGTCTTCAAAGTCGACCACTTTTCCAAGTACGGTCTCAGCGATTCGGATGAGGATGACAATCAGATCCCACCGATTTCGGAAGCAAAGAAACTGAAGGGATTCCCCGCGCCCGTACAAAAGGGCAAACCTATCGATCCATCGACGGCGACGAATAAAGAGGCGATCAATGGAATGATGATTAACGGAACGCTTGAAAGTATGAAGATTGGAAACGGCAAGGAGCATCCAAATATCGTCGAGAACAATTTTTTAGGGAAAACCCCAATAAGCCGTTTTGCCTATAACGATCACAGTTATAAGGAACGAGGAATGATCGTCAGCCCGGGCGGGGAAACCCCGTTTGGCCGTTCCGGTTTTGTTCCCGGGGATTACAATTACGAAAAACGCATGACCGTCAGTCCAGTCGGCGATAACGCTCGCGTCACCGGCACAGACAGCCACAAGTTGCAGCTTATGAAAGCGAGCTTCTTTGATGTGAACGACGAAGATGTAAACGAGGAAGCTAACAACGGCATATTCCCCTCCGTACAGAAAACTTTGATACGCTATTTCCCAGATGTCACAGAGGCCAAGAGCGACGAAGCTCCGTACAACGCTACGACATTACGAACGACTCTCGTCGCACACGAAACGTTGTTCTCCACATGTTCTCCGGAGAACGTGCTTTCTACGTCGAGTAGAATATCGCATTTGCCTCGTATTGGCGCGAGAGACAAACAGATTATCGAGAGAGCTATTCCACCGCCTGTAGTCACACCAGTGACAAGCGTATTGAAGTATCACTATGAGGTTGTACCACTTGAAGAGTCCAGGTTGAACAGATTGCGATTTCGCTGCATTGCTGACGCCGGTATATACATGGGCAGGACGTTTCGGCCGAGTTGGGGCGCCGGTCTCACACTGCTGTCCCTGAGCACACAAGAGCAGGCAACTAAGATGCAACTGCGGAGCACGTTCAGTCAGCTGAGTCGTTACCTCTCCGGCCGTCTCGCTGACGACATATCGTCGACGGTAATTGTTCAACGCCTGCAAATCCTCGGGGGCGACGAGTATGACACGAAGACATTCAAAGACAGCATAGAACGTCACTTGAGAATTCAGCTAGATCACTGCGTGATGGGCCACGAGGGAGACTGTCCCACGTTTGACGTAGCGACCGACAGCGCAAACGAGGCATTGCAGCTGCATTGCACGCTGGCACAGGATCTCGCGGAGCAGGAACAAAGACCGAGCGAGGATGCCAATGACGAGCAGATGCAGTGCGGCAGCGCCAGCGAGAAGTCGTTCCGTCAATATGCGAGTATCGTGTGGACCTTATGTGTGGCACTCTGGGGAAATTACGCTGATCAGGACATGGCCGACAACGCCAATGAGGAACACTACAATGTTATGGTGCGAAGGGAAGCTGTGGGCGACTGGTTGAGGAACGTGGTGCAGAAGACGGTTGAACGAGAGATCAAGAGCATCGACGGTGAAACTAAAAACTCACACGAGAAGATAATATTGTCGCTGCTCTCCGCTTGCAAGCTGGAGGACGCTTGCCAGGAAGCGCGGAAGGCCGGAGATCACTGCCTGGCGTTACTGATGGCGCAATTACGAAGCGGCGCGACAGTCAAGAAATTGATCAAGCAGCAGCTTGCGCTGTGGCAGGAGACCGATGTGGACGAAAATCTCACGATCGATCGTCTAAAGCTGTTCATGCTGGTGGCCGGCGAACCGCTCATCTCCAGCAAACACGGCACTATCAATGTATGCGAGGACCTGGACTGGAAGCGGGCCTTCGCCACTCATCTGTGGTACCTGTCGCCACCGACTTGCTCCATCACCGACGCCTTGGACCTCTACGAAATGTCGTTTAATGCGACGGAGGCTCAGGGATATGCGGCAGTTCCCGAACCCGAGTACAGGGAGAACGAGTACGATGCCGAGTTGAGTAACGGCAAACGGATACACGATCTTTGCTTTCATCTTCTGAAGTTGTACTGCACGGGAAATCACGATCTAGGCGAGCTCCTCAATCCACTGTCGTACACCGCCAATCCCTTGGATTACAGATTGAGGTAATTTCGTATTGGCAATATTCCAGCTATATACATATAGCGATGGAATAAGTATAAAAAATTCAAATTTGTTGATAGTTTTAAACTTTCCATGATTACTACAAAATAAAAGCAGTACTTTTAAGTAGACTGGAACCTGGATCAAATATGTCTGAATCTTTTGCTTTGAGTACTTTATTAGAAATTTTACGTTCCTTCAAATCAAAACGTTTGTAAAGCGACAATTATTTTAATACATTATTTTTTTATAATTATAAATATTAGATTGTCGATCGTTGAAATTAAATATAATAAAAATATAATTTAAAATATGGTATAAAGTTACTTAAAATCGTTACATATTACATTCTTTAAATTAACAACTTTATTCTTAAAAGAGTTCGAGTACTACTTGTAAAAGATTCGATTTTTTACAGTAGAAACTGCTTGTACATTTTGCATCTTGCAGGTACTTATTCTAAAATTCGAAGTTAACTAGTCGAGATCGATTACTTCGCAAGTATAATGTATGACATATTATTTCCTATGAATATTACTTGAATCCTAGAACATAAAACTTGATTATTGGATTTGACTCGGATTTTTAAGTACATTGAACTTGAGTATATTGAACTTGACTCTATTCCTATATATATATATATATATATATATATATAGGTACACATATACACTTATGAAAAATCAAATCTATATAATTAATTTTTGTTTATTTCTATTCGTTTAAATACCTACAACGTTTACATAAATTCGCATTACGTGCATACGTGCGTAAGCAACAAAAGCAAGCATAAAATTGCAAGTGATGATGTGTAAATAATTAGTTCAAATGTACATTTCATTAACTTCAGCTTACATCGCCAAGAAGTGGATTCGGTTTACAATTTTTCCTTCACACACTCATCCATATCTTATGTACTACCTTTATACTTATTACGACCTATCCCTCTTTATACCCTATCTCTCCTTCCACAATTTTCTTTTACATTATCCATTTCATCGTTCCAAATTTTTTCCAATGTTTCTTCTTTATTCTTACCTAACTCCTTAAACCAATCCTTAATCCTAGAATACTCCTCCACGTAATCATACAATCTTGTCTTTGTCCGCAAAATACACAACGTTTTCTCTTCCCCTTCTATCTCCCCTATTCAACTTATCTTCTCTCTTCAAAAACCTCAATCCTTCCAGTCTCATATACTTACAATCCCTTATACTTACTATTAATCAGTTTAAATGTGTATTCAAGAAGTTGTGTTAATTAAGGATGTTTCGATCTTTTATTAATCACGATTATGATTTTGCAATTTTTTTCATATATATATATATATATATATATATAATCTTCTTAACAGTTGGCTAGTACAACAAACGCTTGTGGCTTTGGGTTACACACATCTCTCCGATCACGTCGCTGCGTTGACTCATACGAACTTTGCGACTCAATTGGAAGCGCATGGACTCTGGCACTGGGCGATTTTCGTAGTGTTGCATCTACGAGATTCATCTAGACGACGAGCTGCTGTACAGGACCTGCTGTTGCGTCACATAGAGATAGACGACACTCCGGAATATATAAAACATGAACAGTTTTTGAAGGAGGAGCTTGGTATATCATCAGTTTGGATTCACCAGGCTAAGGCCATCAAAAGCAGTGTCAATAAGAGGTATTTAACAATATTACATTCAAATACACTCGTATAATAAATTCGTATTAAAAAAAACTGATTGTTACGTTTGTTAATTGGAATACAATTCTGAACATATTTGAAGAGATTCGATGCTTTTGCAGGTATGGCGAAGCAGCTTGGTACTACATCCAGGCGGAACAATGGACCCAAGCCCATGAAATTATTATAGAGCATCTGGCAGCCGATGCTATAATAAATGGTATCGGATACTTCCTTCTTTTCTTTTTTTACATGTTGGCGCTGTATGTTGTAGACAATTTCATTGCTTATTCTATATTGCAGAAAACTACGAATATTTGAAATCACTGTTAAGCCCGCTGGTACCGATCGAATATAGCGGCACAATTAGCGGATGGTCGCATCAAGGACAACTCCTGTGGGAGTACATGGAGATAACTAGCGAGATTCAGAGCCTGTTAAAGTCTGCTCCGGATTATCGTGGGCTAACTTATCAACTGGAAGCGCTGAAGCCTCGATTAACAGGCTTGTGTAATAAAATCGATCAATTTCCATGTCCGACCGCTAAACACAGGTACGACTAATATATATAATACTATTGCAAGCCGCTTCTTTGTACTGTTCTAAAGTTTTGTGTCCATGATAATAGAAATCGCTCCGAGATCTTGGGCGGAGAAAAAATTGACCAATCATATTTAAATAATTTGACAATTGATCAATGCGATTGGTTAATTCTTTCTCCGCCCGAGATCTCGGAGCGATTCCTAGCATCGTGGACACAAGGCTTAAGGCATTTTTTTTCTTTCGTATCTCTAGGTTGTGCCAAGCTGAAATTGCAAAGAGGACTGTACATTTGGCTAGAAATATGCTGCTGTTGCAGAAAAACGAGCAGAGATCCGTCACGAAGTTGCTGGTTCGTCTGATATCTCAACTACCATTGCCGGAAGATTATGCGCAACAGGAACTGCGACCTACCGTTAATATGCGCGTAACAGAAATAATGCCGTAAATGTCAATGTGAAGTAACACGCATAAGTTAATTTATCGGTCGCGTAGTTGTGTAAAGTTCATTAACGGAAAGTCCCATTTTTATTAATTTTTTTCCGCACTCGCTTGCAAGTTGTAAATTGACACAGAAAATAAGCATGAAGTTTTTTTGAAGAACTTTTCAGTGATCCTGATGACAGTGTTATACATACGGCGGTAGCAAATTGCGCGATTCGTACAGTAGATTTGTAAAGCTTGAAATTATAAACACTTAGAGAAATACATCAGTATGTGATACTATTTAAGTCTTTCTTACATTTTTTATCGATTTACGCACGAAATTGTCTCGTTATTTGAGAAACGCGTGATGACTAAACCGTTATGAAGACGAATGATGCGTAATTGGTCGAGAGAAAGCAGACGAGAAATAATTCTGTACTTCACGGAGGAATATTTCTATCGTATGTCGCGTGGTTTTCTTGTACAATCTATATCGTCGCGCTTGAATAACGTAAACAAGTCATATTAGATACCTTCTAAGATATATATAGCACAGTTACGCAGGTACGTGAAAAATGGTAATTTATATGTATTATGTGATACACATTATGTGATACGTCATATAATATGTATATAATTGCTATCTGTTCTCGCATTTTGATTTTCTAGCCCTTTCGTACCTTTCCTATATTCGGACGTCCTTTTTCGCATATTAACGAGAGGTCTGCATAAAAAAGTAACGAGTGTAATTAGCGCGAGTGCAAATTATCACACGCGACGGACTTGTATATTACGATAAGTCGGACATACCCTGTGAAAACTTTTCAACGTAGTGCTTTGTGCGCACGTAATAAATTTCTTTCCCATTATTAGATAGAACAGGTACTTTTGTGAAGAAAAGAATAAAGAAATCCAGTATATAGTTACGATCACGAGAAATAATGAGATACGTATGTGTATAAGGTACATTTGTATAAATGAAATTAAGTTTTCACTCTTTTAAAGTTGAAATAAATAAATAAGATGTTTACATATGGCTTCTGCATATTACGAACGAAAGTATAAAATGAATTTAAATACAAATAAATATTATACAAATTCTCCTGCATCTAATTTTTTCAGCAATTTACCATTTAAAAACTTTGATTTGCATATTTTCTCACGATTTGCAACCTTAATTTCTTGTCAATTTTAGAGTTCATTAATACAAATAGAGATTTATAAAAGATACAGCCGGTAAGTGTGCGCGCGTGCATCTCGCTCTTTGTATTGAAGAGGCAAAAGATTTTTCGACTTTACAATTTATTGAGTTTAAACGCAGACTTTTATGAAACTTATGTCATTTGCGCGCAAATATAAATGCAAGATAAGAAACGTTCGATTTTTACTCTATCGTGATCTGAGAACCCAAGATCGATGACCGAGATTTCACAAAAGAAATAACACCGCAATAAATTAAAAGCTCTATAATTAATTCGAGGCTCTGTAGATATTTCATTGCCTAAGAAATGATTATTGGAACAAGTCGGGATCGGTATCTATTATTGCATGTATATGTTACAGTTAAAACCCGAATTTACTGGAAAATTCTAGTTTTAACTAAGCCCCCTTGGTAATTCACGTTCTAATTGAAATAATTTAGACATAAAACTAGAATTGATCGAGTGCTTTAATTTATATTCGCGTTCTAACTGAAATAATTTAGTTAAAACTAGACGGTAAATATTGACAAAAGAGGACCCAGCTTCTATGACCTAGACCTTGACATATATTATAGAGGTCACCCTTTTGAGTAATCTTCAGAAGATTTTAACCCTCACTTGTCCTTTATTAAAAAGTTATTAACAAAAAAGTTTGAGAAATATAACAGTTTATTGTGTCAATACAAGGGAAGTAATTTGCTGACATGTGTACTGATATATACTGTCTATACATACATATCAACAAATTCTTCCTTTCTTTAGCATTGACACAATAAACTGTTATATTTCTCAAACTTTTTTGTTAATAACTTTTTAATAAAGGACGAGCGATAGGTAAAACCTTTTGAAGGTTACTCAGGAGGGTGGCCTCTATAATATGTCAAGGTCAAGCTTATAGGAAAGTCCTCTTTTGTCAATAGGTATTTACCATTATTTTGATATAATCAATTTTCGAAATAACCACCAATAAAACCAAATTTCGAAATAATCACAGCACAAGAATCTTAATTTTTATTTAGGAATATTAGTACTGTCGATTGAGTACTAATCTTACAGTACAGTCAAAACCCCACGAGTTTTGATTGTAAGAGAAACACACCGTTAAACCGCGAATTTACTAAAGCAGTCGGCCAATTCTAGTTTTAACTAAATTATTTCAATTAGAATGTGTAGGTACATACTAAAGCACTCGGTCAATTCTAGTTTTAACTAAATTAATTCAGTTAGTACGCCTATTGCCGAACTGGCTTATAGTTAAAACTATTAGATATAGAACTTCCTAGCAAATTCAGGTTTGGGCGGATTTCGGGTTTTAACTGTAATATATATATGTATATACATACATTTATGCCTTGCGCACAATAGAGCACATATTAGGAATAAAAATAAATATTAAATATTAGGAATCGGAATTAGAAATAATTAGACATAACGCACAAGGGAAAGGAATAAAATATAAAGGAATATTATTCCTACAGGAATATTCCCGCATTTATACATATTCTAATATTTAATATTTATTACAGGAATATTCTATTATTTATACATTCTAATATTTATCATTTATTCTTATTCCTAATATGTGTTCTATTGTGCGCAGGGCCTTATTCGAAATATTAATCATATAACTTATCTCGTTGTAATTAAAAATATAGGTAGGTATATGTACAGTGAGGTGCATTAATTCAATGAGTCATAGTATTTTGACTTCTTGGCCACTAGGTCTTTAATAATCCACATGTGCGCGGTTCATCGAAGTATTAAAATGTAACGAGAAGTCGGGTTACTTGCTAATATGATCCAGCGAAATAATGCATCTTACTGTACAACAATTGCATTTTATTTCGAAAAAATTATTTATAGTTAGTAATCGGTCAACAATAGGATATACTATTCTCGCGCCGAGTATTCTTTATAGATCATTTTATATGGCTAAACTCCGATTTTCGACAATTTGTATTAAATGGTCTCTTTGACGAGGAGAGGAGAGATCTCTCTCTTTCTCTCTCGTCGCGTTGTTGCGCAATTCGTGCGCATAACGCCGTCCCCGCCATGCTTGGACAAATGTAACGCGACGTTACTCTCCCCCCCTCCCCCGCCTTTAGGAAAAGCTCTCACTGTCTTTATGTAAGATATAGATATATGTTAAATCAATGATACCGGGCTTGCGCTGCGTTACACTCCCGTAACGTGGCGTAAGGTCGGGACCGCGCTCACCCCTGTCCCCTCCCCTATCCCCGTCCTCCGCGGAACGGCGCCGGGCCTTCTCCACCACTTTCCGCTGCTTTTATCCCCTGTTCCCCATCCACCCTCGCCCTCGCCACCACCACCGCCGCCGCCGCCGCCACCACCACCACCACCACCACCACCACCACCACCCATCTTTCTCACGACGTATTTCCCCTCCCTTGCCTCGTTCATCCCCTTCTGCGTCGCCCCGCGCAAGACTCCAGGCTCCACGGAGCGAACAACCGGGGATACCGGGGTGGCTGGAGGAAGCTTCGACGAGCTTCGGTGAAGTCGATGTCGCGCTGGCCGCCGGCGTTACCGGCGTTGTCGCCGCTGCCGCTGCCGCCGCCACCACCATAGAACGCTCCACCTTCGCTTGCCCCCGACCCCCGTCCCCGCGAGGATAGCGGAGGGGGTACGGGGTAGCTCCCTCCCCCTTTCTCGCCCCCGAAATAACGTACTACTGAAATGCCACGAGCTGGCTCGCTGATCGTAGACGTAGTAAGGGGTACGTAGCGCGCGCGCGCCAAGCCACCTTCTCTCGGGGGTGGCGACGGCGGCCAGACAGCGGCGGCAGACATAGCGGCGCGATACCACGCGACACCACGCCGCGTCGTTCCTCGCGTGATTTTCCGCATCACGCGGCAGCCGCGAGCGGACTCAGGCCTCGGAAAGGCAGTATCATCGCGAGGGAGAGCTTTTTTCCTCTTCAACCCCTTTCCCGTCGTTTTGCTCTAACTCGTTTCATCTTCTTCCCCCGCTCACCTGTCCGCCCTCCTACCCTCTCTCATCCTTTCCTATTTTCTCTTTCCGCGTCTCCACAACGTTACGGAGGCGCGAGGCGGAATCGCGTGATCGGCGGCCTCGCGAGCGACGAGTAAATCGCGTTATCGCGTCGGGCAAAGGGCGCGAGACATGAGAATTATGCCGTCCTCGCTACGCGTGGTGATGAGATCATGTGGTCGCGCTCGGCTCCGGAACAGGCAGTGACATTTCGAGCGCACGTTCCGGAACGGTACACGTACACGCAGCCCGGAACGCCGCCGCCGTCGCCACCACCGCTGCCGCCGCCACCGCCACCGCCACCGCCTACCTCCTTCCGCCCGCTGCCGTCGCCGTTAAAATGATCGAACTGGCGACCGGATTCGCTCTGACACCCGCGGCGCGGACCGTCGCCGTTCGCGAAGTGGCAAACGCGACGGGGATGAAGGGGTGGTCTCATCGCTGTGCGTGATCCGATTTCGTGACCTTGTACATTACGTGTACGCGAGCGAGCGAGCGAGAGGAGAGGGTGAGAGTGCGCGCGCGCGCGCGCAAAAGAGAGAGAGAGAGAGAGAGAGAGCGAGGTCAACGAGGGACGAGGGTTGGCGAGTTTGCGATATATAGTGAAGTACGGGCGGTAGATAGATGTGCACGAGATCGGTACGCAAGAAGAGCGAGAGGCGGTGATCCGAGGACGGTGATGACCTATGGACGATGCGCGAGGATCGTTAAATCGACGGGTGCCGAACTGGTTCGTCCCTGGTCCCCGGCTACGACGATCGATCATCGCCAATCGCGTGAAATTACCGCGGAGAAACTCACCACCGCGGAAGACCACGCGTCGAGAGAACGCGGCGAGGGTGGTAGCGAAGGAGAAGAGGAAGAGGGGAGAGAGGATTTTTTTGAGAAATATCGTTGTCTAGAATCGCGTTGAAATAATGTTTCTGCTTATCGACGACAGGCTGCTAAGCTTCGGGCTACTGTTTCTGTTGTGGATAGGCTCGAGTCGTCAACAAGAGGAGGACATACCTCACAATGAGTAAGTTGCTCGTCGCGCGTGCAAACCCGTAGCGATTAAGTGGCGTGGGCATGAAAAACGTTTGCTCTAGGCCCGCGGTCTCGTCCTCATGCGTCTCGTCGGACGTCGGACCTCGATGACGCATGAGGAGCCCGAAAGAAATTGGCTCCGGGGTAGATTGAAGGGAGGGAATGGGTAGTGGTGGCGGTGCGGTGGATGTGCGAGCGATCGGACGGATGGGGTGCATAAAGCTCGACGAGCAAAACTCGATAGGGAACAGAAGGAGCGCGAGGGCGAGGGCGAGGAGGTGGACGAGGGCGAGAACGAGCATGCGGTAGTAGGGTGGGGAAATAAAGGAACGCGCAAGAGTGGGAAGGAGGGTGAGAAAAAGAGAGAGAGAGAGAGAGAGGGGAGAAGGAGAGATGTCGTCAAGGGTGTGAGCAATACGGGAAGAAGGGCGAATATAAGGGGTTAAGGATAAAGCGGAATGGCGATGAAAAAAATGAAGAAGGGCGCGAATAACGGATATAAACGGAAAAGTCCAAAAGAAAGATGTATCGGCTTCCAAAGAGAAAAAAGGAAGGAGAGGGGGAGATAGAGAGAAAGAGAGAGATTATGTGAAAAGAATTGGAAGCGGAAGAACGAACGGAAATAAGGAAGCGCGTGACACTAATCGGTTATTGACTACGTGCGAATAAACGGAAACGAGAGGGAAGGTGGAAAAGGATTCGAGCGTGAAAAGATGCGATATGCGAAATCTTAGAAAGGATTTTAAAAGTCTGATTTTTTTAGATGCAAAGAAACTTTTTGAAATTGATGATTTTTTGAAATTAGTGAAAAACTATGTTTATTGACAACGCCAACAGTTACAAGTAAACTTAATCTTTCTCTTTCTCTCTTAATATTTATAATCAATTTCTAAAATAAATTTCACAAGGCTATTTCGCGCGAGAATTTCTTCACGTGTTATAATTTTAATAAATAGAACATATTAACAACATATTACACTTGCGACTAATTATTTTCATGGACCAACATAAAACGACTATGTATTATTATAAATTAATGTAGCAAAAGAATTTTTAATTAATCACTTATTGCAAATATTTTAATCGTTGCCGGACGTATATATATTTACCTAAAATAATATCATTAATTATTACAGAGTGAAAAACTGGGCCTTAAAGTTCGGCGTGGATCTATGGGAGTTTGGTAAACAAGTAACCAAAATGAGCGAGATACAAAGGGTAAGGAAATATAATATGTATTTAGCTATATAACCATAATAAATATATTTATTTTCTATAGCAAACTATCAATAGAGGTATTGTAAATGTCGTGCAAAGATTTATAGCGTGAGAGAAAATAATATGTATTTATAAGTCATTTTTTCAAAATTATCTTTTCAACACAAAAATCTTGTAATCTTCGCTGTTCACACGCACCGATTTTTATTGCTTCACATTTAGAAATATCATGAAGTGGAAGCCAACGTCATAAAAAGGGATGGTCTCGTCCTCGTTCGCGAGATGGCCATGGAGGTGAAAAACATGATGGACTTTAAAATGAATGCCGTGATGGTACGCTAGTACATATTCTTTTTTTCGTATTTAACGCTTGATCTTAAGTTATTCGTTAGATTAGAGAAATGTGCTCGTTACGTGATGTAAGAATTGGAAAGAAGTGTTATTTCCTTGTGAAATTTATAGGATTGTTTTATTTTTCAATTTGACCTTGATTTCGTAAGCTATAAATAAGTTCTCTTTGCGAATAGAGAGAGAAATTGTCGACACAAATAGAAAATGAAATCGATAATTCCATATTTCCATGTACTAATGTAATTTTAATCTCAACCTTGGTTTAAAATATCAAACATTGAAAATTCGACAAATGATTTTCTTGACATTTTCGATAGAAGTAGATTCGTTAATTTTGAGAATCTTATATTAAGAAAAAATTTTCAACTTTTTAAATCGCAAGAGAGTTATTACTTGAGCAAAATAATTATGCGCTGTTTTTTTTTTTTTT